TGCTGAAACATGAATGTAGCTACACTTGTCACTACCACAACAGCTACAACGGGACAAGATTACAACGATATTTCATATATAGGGTATGTTCGCTAGTACAGCTTCCCAACCGGTACGCGCGGAAATCGGAGCGGTTCATTAGCGTGTGATTAATTAAGTATTAGCTATTTTTAAGAAAAATAAATTAATTTAATTTTTAAGCAACTTTCGTATATAAACTTTTTTTAAAAAAAACACACTATTTAACAGTTTGAAAAGCGTGCGTGCGGAAAACGAGAGAGGGGTTGGGAAAAGGGGTGCCGAACACACCCATAGAGATGTAAGTGGCTAATTAATCCGCGAGCTCACCTATAGATCAAAATAAAGTGGATTCTTACATTGTTCCGACTTATAAGTGAGCTTCACGGGTTAGCCACTTACCATTCTTATTAGTTAGATGACCATTCGCTGCGGTGCCCCTACCGTTCGGTTAGGGATGTGTATATAGATGGCTATAAGGCCTGTCTGGCACGGCCCGACCTAGGCACGGGCGAGGCACGGCCCAAGTCAATCAAGCCGGCACGGCACGATCGGCACTTCAGGACGTGTTGTGCCGGCCCACGTACTGCACCTCAGGCCCAGGCACGGCCTACCAGTAGTCGGGCCGTGCCGTGCCAGCCCGAAGGCACGTGCGGCCCATCATGCCTTTTTTAAAATAAGTTTATTTTCCCCCTCCTCTTTGGGCTATGGCATATATATATATATATATATATATATATATATATATATATATATATATATATATATATATATATATATATATATATATATATATATATATATATATATAGAGAGAGAGAGAGAGCTAAAATAAGTCTATTTTACATCTCTACTCTTTGGGTCGTACCATATAATAAGTCTATTTGTCTCCCTATATTTTTGTGACGTGCCTTACATATGGGCTGTGTTTAGTTTCACACCAAAATTGAAAGTTTAAAGAAATTGGAACAATGTGACGGAAAAGTTGGAAGTTTGTGTGTGTAAGAAAGTTCGATGTGACGGAAAAGTTGAAAGTTTGAAAAAAAAAGTTGGAATCTAAAAAGGGCCATGGTTGAGAATAAGTCTGTTTCGCATCACTAAACTTTGGGCCGGGCCAGGCCAGCTAGGGGTGGAAACGAGCCAAGCGAAGCCTAGCTCGGCTCGGCTTGCAGTGGATCGCAACAAACTAGGCTTGGCTTGGCTCGGCTCAGTTAAGGCAACAAGCTAAAACTTGAGCTCGGCTCGGCTCATTTCGTGGCTCGAGCCAGCTCGAGTTGGCTTGCAAGCCTTCCTATTGAAAATCCTCTTCATATATATTTTATAATTATTAAAAAAAACAAAAACAAATCATCAACATGTAAAATTTAAATAAGTTTATATATTCATTTTTTAAAAAAAAATCTTAATGATAAATTTCAAGTTGACAAATAATAACGCCAAAAAAAGTGAAATAATCGATATAAACACATGATGGCCTAGGCTTGCTAGCCAAAACAAACGGCTCGCGAGCCAGCTCGGCTCATTTCAGCAACGAGCTGAAAAGGAGGCTTGGGCTTGGCTCGTTTGGCTTACGAGCCGAGCCAACCAAGCTCGAGGCGAGCCCGAGCTTTTTTTCACCCCTAGTGCCAGCCTAGCGTGTCGAGGTAGAAGCTCAGGCACGTCACGGCTGTTGGGCCGGGCCAGCACGGGCCTGGCCGGGCCAAAATTACTAGGCCTTGGACGGGCCCTGGGCCAAATTTATCGGGCCTTGAGCGGGCCATCGAGCCTCGGGCCATATGGCCATATATAGGGCTGTGCTGTACAGCCAAAAACACTTCACTTTGACCTACTACAGAATAGGCCCATTATGTCACAGTGTCAATCAAGTTACAGTAATGTTTATATATTACATCATTAGCGACTATAACTATCGTTGGATCGAGACCGCGCCACCTCAGTTGTCTTTGCCTCATCCAAGTTGGGGCAAGTGCTCTTGACCTCGGTTGATGACATGCCAAGGTTCTGTTGAGCCAACAACCGCCGTAGCGACGCGCCGACGCCGCACCGCTCACCGGCGCCGGTAGCCATGAGTTGAGCGCTAGCCACGTCTCTTCCCAATGACATGCGGGCCCTACTTATTGGGTGAGTGAATGACCTACTTTAATTACCATAAAGTATAGGGTTCATATTAGGAAACGGTAAGACATTGCCGCGTACTCCAGGCTAGTGGAAGACATTGATTGGCTTATTCGAATTACTTATTACTGCCTCCGTCCCATAAAAATTAAATTTCTAGAGAATTAAGGACATATTAATAGGATAGACTAATGACTACAATAACCCTATTTAATGAACACAGTACATGCACACATTCCATATATAAACTTGATTAAAAGGAATGTCACGACAATGGGTTAGAGATGAGATGGAAGGAAAGAAGATTACAGTTTACTGGGTCCCACATTAGTAGAAATACAATTTTTATGGGACAAAGGTTTAAAGCTAGAAATTCAATTTTTATGGGACGGAGGTAGTAACAAATAGAAAAAATATTTATGAGTATAAAACTTGTTCTTAGCAAGTCAAAAACAAATATTATAAAATAAACATAAACAGTGATGAAAAGACAAAAAAAATCAAATTCAAATCAACTTCTAAAATTTAAATTTTGGCTTATAAGTATAAGGGCCAACCAATAACACCTCAGAAAAAAGAACTAGCAATGAAGTGGCATTTCAACCCAACCGCTCCTTAATTAGCTCCGTCCTCATAGTAAGAGTTGTACCAAATGAACCCTTAATTAGTCCAAATGCACTAATATGGGTATATTCTAGATACTACAGATACTAGCGTATCTATTTCTTACCCACGCTTACCATTACACGAGTTACAAATGATGGATCATTTGATGTTTAAATTGGGCTATTTCAAAATATTATACATAGGAGTTGTGTGAACGATACTATTGTAATACTACGGGTGGCGTACACAATGATATGGTACCACACTATATCTCATCAACTAAGAAATACTACTATTGTACAAACATATGGGTTGTTTATAGGTTAACCTTACAACCTCGTCTTTTCGCTTAAGTTTATACTTATCAGACAAAATTTGAATTTTTAACCTTAAAAATAGAGTTGATTTGGGGGTTTTTTTCATCAAAGTTTATTTTGCAACATTTGATTTTAGATCGCTAAGAACACAAAATATAAAAGTGTATTCACAAATTATTTTTTGTTTGCAAATATGATGTTTGGCTTATTTCCCGAATAAGCGAAGCGATGCGATCATTAGTTATAAAGTTGTTTATTATCTAACCTTTTGGAGGCCGTATTGGTACCCGCGATGAATTAACACCCTGATGAGTCATCTTTAATACTGTTAATTTATTAGGCATTAAATTCATGGTAGTGTTCTGTTATAAAATTTTAATCATCTATGCTTAGTTTTAAAATTGTATACATATATATTGGCCTAAAAAATATCATAATATCATTGAACTTATTCTAACATAAAAATTATTGGTTGAGTGATGGGTTTAGTCCTAGGGGTATTATTATACTTGCTTCAAAAAAATCTCCTTGAAATAGCCAAAAATGATAAATAATAGGTGCGTTGTCCACTAAAATTCACATAGGCAAATGTGACTTCTTGCATTGTCTATAAAACCAAATTTACATTGTTTAGTGTACCATAATAAAATTTGCCAAAATTGTATTTAGCAAGAGCTTCTATATAGGATAGTAACTTTTAAAATTTAAAATTTGGCATCGGCTCATGACGAAACGATTGATCAACTGTGCTATCTTTCAGACCAATTTTTATACAGCCGTGTTACGTGTACCCTTGTGGTTTCATTAACATCGAATCACTTAACGCAACCCAAAGTGAAAAAGGATAACGAAGAAGAACAATTCATACGAGGAGTACGTATACGTGGGTGAAGTACTAGCAAGTAGCCGATCAAGCGATGGCGATGGGAGTCATGCGAGTCACACTGTGCTTTGTTTGGTTGGGAGATGGACGCGCCGCGTTTCGCTTTGCGCAGCCACACTCGTGTACATGCCGCCCTCCACTGAAGCTGGAGCCATCTCAACTTCTCAACAACTAGTGCTCTCCTCTTCTTCTGCAAGTAATCCAACAATTCATCTTACTTTGGTTTTGCATTACGTTTTTACCCTTGGCTGATCTAGCTGGGAACTTAATTTATGGCCAAATTTTCTCAAATTTTGTTTCTCCTTGGTTGGTTTTGCTTCACCTAGATCATAAACTTCCACGCAAAAAACCGCAGAGCTATATATCTTGATCTCAATTCATTAAGTGTATATTTTACTAGTAAAGGCTCTCTGAAACGCTGGAATGGTTTTCATTTTCTTGGTAATCAGGAGTAAATTCCCATGATTCAAAAGAGACGTAATATTACTTTATTTCTTTTCTTATTATAAGATAACCCCATCCAACCCAAAATTATTAATGTTGTGTTGTAGCGAAAGAAGAGAAAGTGTTTATACGTCGTTGGATTTAAAAGGACTGAACTTGTGTGAAAATAATTTCCAATTTCTTTCCATACGTTTCTAACCTAGACCACCACTCCAAAGAAATTCTGAGTTTTATTTATAGATAATTTGGGAGAAGCCATTTCCTTTATGGTACCTAAAAAGAAAACTTTATATACCAAACAAAAAAATCATTTGTAAAAAAAATACTCCCTACATCCCAAAATATAGCAATTTTTAGTGGGATGGGACGTATCTTAGGACTACGAATCTGAACAAGAACAAGAGAGAGTACGTAGTAGGATACGTCTCATCCAAGCACAAATTGCTATATTTTGGGACGGATGGAGTACGTACTAACACGACATTTTAAAAAATTCCTAAATGAAAAAAAAGTGAAAAAGAAAAGGAGAAAATGGCATTATCGTAAATAACCCGTCAATACCGAGGGCATAATCGTCCCATCAAAACCCTCCCCTCTCGAGAATAAACGACCTTCCCCTCGACCACCCTCCCACCTCGTCGTCTTCCGCGCCGCCCTCTCCCTCCTCCACCGCCTCCGCCTCCGCCTTCTCTCGTGCCGCCGATCTCCATCGCCGGCGTGCGGTGCACCGAGATCCACCCGAGATGTGGCGCGGCTGCGTCTCGCGTGGCCTCAGGAGCCTCTCCAAGGGCAAGGGCTCCTCCTCCTCCGCCCCCGTCTCCGCCGCCGCTAGGCTCTTCTCCACCGCCTCGGTAGTCCCCTCGATCCCCCGACCTCAGTTGATCCGCGCGACTGTGTGTTCGGATTGTTTTGGGTGGGATTCGATGAGCTCTATTTTGGGATGGGATTTATTTATTTATTTATATTTTTTTTGGCTGCTTGTGGTGGTGGTGGTGTGGGAGTTTGATTTGTGATGCGATGAGAGGGTTTGGTTCGAGAAATGGGCGGCGATTGATGGTATTGGTTTTTTATTTGTTGATGTGCAGTCGTCGTACACGGTGGTGGATCACTCGTATGACGCGGTCGTGGTGGGAGCCGGCGGCGCGGGGCTCCGTGCGGCGATCGGGCTCTCCGAGCACGGGTTCAACACGGCTTGCATCACCAAGCTCTTCCCCACGCGGTCGCACACCGTCGCGGCGCAGGTACTGTGAAAAACTTGCTGCAACACCTTTACTTAGGCTTGCATTTAGTGACAATAGATTTGTTGTGCATCATGCAAACATTGGTTGGGTATTGTGGGAACTGAGATGCTGGTTGTGATGTGCTTTCATTGTGTTTACGATGATTTATGTTGGATGGTTAGTTTTAGAATTAGTTTGATGTGATGCTTTATGTCCATTTGTGATTTATGTGCTAAGTAATTTCCATCTGTTTAGGTTCATTTGTCCTATGGTATGCTTTTTGTGTACTGCGCAGTACGCTAACCAAATCAGTACAAATGAGATAAATATGGTTAGGTAGTAGCTAAAGTACTAGGGCCAGTTTGAGCATAGCTCCCTTTCATCAGGGAATTCACTGCACACCAATGGTCAACAGAAAAAAATGCTTTGTCAACAGAAAAGGCCAGTTATTTTATTGCATCTGCTCTTGATATTAGCACTCAGTGAATGGACGTGTCACTAAGACGGTGTGTTTTATAATCAACAATCATTTTAAAGGAATAAATACAGTGTCCTGGACTTTTAGTCCTGCCATTCTTGGTTGTCTGTTCTAAACTTTCTATGTATTTAAGATAATTTTGAAGAGCAGTTGTTCTGTTTCTCTGGCCTTTAAGTCAGATATGCATTTCACAGTGGATTGTTATGCAGATCTGATGTATTCCTTGACTTGCGATATTACTGTTACCGATATCGAAGCTATACATATAAATTTTTAATTGATTAATGCCTATATTACTGTCCTACCTAGTTATTTTGTGTGTTTTGCATGTTTGAATCTTTTTTGTGCCTCTTTATTTTTTATACTTTTTGTTGATATGAGTCATTCAGCAACAGTTGTTTTTGGTATGTCTAAATGCCTAGGTTAACATCTAAACTTTTCAATTTTGTTGGTTGATGTATTTTGCTCCATTGATGTTCATCATTAGAGCCTTCTCTTACTTCTTTTATTGTTCTGGTATGTTTATGAGCTTCATTCACGTACTAATTTACAAGAGTGTATGTAGGGTGGCATAAATGCTGCTCTTGGAAACATGACGGAAGATGACTGGAGATGGCATATGTATGACACTGTCAAGGGTAGTGATTGGCTTGGTAAGCTGCCTTAATTCCTGGTTCCCTTTTTTACTTCTTTTAGGCTGCAAAACACCTAGAGGTTATAATAAAGAGTTACTAACATGGAATGGCATCTTATATCAACTACCCTACTGTTCTACAGTTTCACTCTCTTTCTAACATTTTGTTCTTATCCATTTCCAGGTGACCAGGATTCTATTCAGTATATGTGCAGAGAAGCACCAAAAGCAGTTATAGAACTTGAAAACTATGGGTTGCCATTTTCAAGAACTGAAGATGGAAAGATATACCAACGGGCCTTTGGAGGCCAGAGCTTAGATTTTGGGAAAGGTCGTAGCTTTCTAAATTTATTTTGAAAAGACAATCTTGACATATATTATTCCAGTCCCTATAACTGTGTGTGCTTTCTTCAGGTGGGCAGGCCTATCGATGTGCATGTGCTGCTGACAGAACAGGACATGCTATGTTACACACTCTGTATGGTCAAGCAATGAAGCATAATACTCAGTTCTTTGTAGAATATTTTGCGCTAGACCTTATCATGGACAGTGAAGGTAAGACGGCTAGTTTTTTAGATAATCATATCCGTCAACCCTGTGTCTACGTAGTCTATGCAAGACTCAAGTGTATGATAGAAGACTTTTCTAATTACTATCTGTGTCATAAACTCCTAGTTGTAATCCATCATTGCTAAATTGGTTTCTTTTGATAATTATTTGAGTAAATTGCACTTTGCACCGGGTAGAGCGTAACTTGTTTCACTTTACACTGGGTTTAACACATACTTTCACTTTATACCAGGGTATCTCAATTCGATTTCACTTTGCACTTGGTTATGTCTTATAATTGAACAAAATATTGTAAAATATGAGGATATCTTATAAAACTTATTCAATCTTGATAGGTAAGATTATGTATCCTAGTGCTAAGTGAAACTTATTTCAATACAACCTTAGTGTAAAGGAAAGTATGTGCTAAATCTGGTGCAAAGCGAAACAAATGTTTTATCCGGTGCTAAGTGCAGTTTACTCTAATTATTTTGTTCCTTGTGTGCGTGTGTGTGTGTGTGGCTATTTCAAGCATAACACAAGTACACTTGGCACTGTAGCTTCCTCTTCAGTAGTTGCAAATATCTCATTCATATCCTTGTATTTACCCTCCTGCTTCTTGTATTAGGACTTGTGAATTTTATTCAAGCAGTCGATTACTCCATGCCATAGAAGCTCTATTGATTACTTTGTAATAATATTCAGGCACCTGTCAGGGGGTTATTGCTTTGAACATGGAGGATGGCACTCTTCACCGTTTCCGTGCTACAAATACAATTCTGGCCACAGGAGTAAGATATCTCACAGATTTGAATTTTGGATGACAAATGTGCTAGCTTTCTTGACTATGGCGATTCATTTTTGTGTTGTCTTGTGGAAACAGGGTTATGGCAGAGCCTACTTCTCAGCAACCTCAGCTCACACATGCACTGGAGATGGCAACGCTATGGTTGCACGTGCTGGTTTACCACTTCAGGTTAGTCCAATTATTTAGTGCTGAATTGTTAGTTACTGTTCCATGCTTCTATCCTGATTACATTTGCATGATATATGTTTGCAGGACCTTGAGTTTGTGCAGTTCCATCCTACAGGCATTTATGGTGCTGGATGCCTTATCACTGAAGGTTCTATACTCCTCTTTTCTTCATGTGCTTAGCTTCTAAGGACTTCTCTTGTTTATCCTAGTTTATGGGCAGGACATTTATACTGTTGATGTTGCACATATGTAATTTTACTGACAATCTTCGTGTCTTCATTCTCATTTGATCATCAGGTTCCCGTGGTGAAGGTGGTATCCTTAGGAACAGTGAAGGCGAGCGTTTCATGGAACGATATGCTCCTACTGCAAAAGATCTTGCTTCTCGAGATGTTGTTTCAAGATCTATGACAATGGAAATCAGAGAAGGCCGTGGTGTTGGTATGCCCAAGTCCATTCATTTAACACCTGAGGTACAGAACTGTGTTGGCTGTTGGGATGAAACTTATCTTTTGTTCTGGTTACTTCAGGGCCATTGAAGGACCACATCTATCTGCATCTTAACCATCTGCCTCCAGAAGTTCTTAAGGAGAGGCTTCCTGGTATTTCTGAAACTGCTGCTATTTTTGCTGGTGTTGATGTCACCAAGGAGCCCATTCCTGTCTTGCCTACTGTGCACTATAATATGGGTGGGATCCCAACAAATTACCATGGAGAGGTTTGTGTTGAGTAACCAATAAACATTACTGTAGATCACTTTTTTCTTGCTGATTTTTAATAGAAGTTTTCTATTCTGCATATCAGGTAGTGACTATGAAGGGTGACAATCCTGATTCTGTTGTTCCTGGTTTGATGGCTGCGGGAGAAGCAGCATGTGCATCTGTTCATGGTGCAAATCGTCTGGGTGCAAATTCACTTCTTGACATAGTTGTTTTTGGCAGAGCTTGTGCAAACAGGGTAGCTGAAACCGCTAAGCCAGGTAGGTTTCCCTCCTGTGCTACATAACTTGTTGGCTGATTTGCTCATCCTGATGCACCTAATGTCTGTGATGCAACATTATAGGTGAGAAGCAGAAACCTCTTCAAAAAAGTGCTGGAGAAAAGACCATAGCCTGGTTAGACAAGCTGAGAAATGCAAATGGATCATTGCCAACTTCCAAGATCCGTCTAAACATGCAACGTGTTATGCAAAATAATGCTGCTGTCTTCCGTACGCAAGAAACACTCGAGGAAGGTAATGCAGTTTTGCACATATCCTTTGTAGCTTAAGGCAATGACGCTGGTGATATAGAAATGTCTGTTGTCACCATAGATCATCCTAGTCATTAACAATAGGAAGCAAGGAAGGCAGGATTTAACAGTAAAGATAGACCCCAGTAGAAAGTCATGATTCTTGACTGTTGTATCAATGTGTTCTCACAGACCTTTATTAGGTTGTTAGCTGATTAGCAAAGTATAGTAAAGGTACCATAATACCAAGAATTAGTGATTGAAGCTTCATAATTAGCTAGTAATCAAGCATGGCATAAATAGTTAAGATAACAAGAGACATGATTCATAAATATTTCCCACTGACCTCGACCTTGCTTTATTAGGTTGCAAATTGATTACCAAGGCATGGGAAAGTTATCATGATGTGAAGATCAGTGACCGGAGTCTCATATGGTATGCCATTTCTTGCAAGGATTGCACCGACTTATTTTGCTTGCTTGTTACTATCTTACACTGGCTATCTATAATTCACTATTTGTTTCACAGGAATTCAGATTTGATAGAGACCATTGAGTTGGAAAATCTCTTGATAAATGCATGCATAACCATGCACTCAGCAGAGGCTCGGAAGGAAAGCAGAGGAGCTCATGCTCGTGAAGATTTCACGGTTTGTACTTCTCTTGTTTCCCTTCTTTTTGGTGCCTCGCACCCACATGCTTCTATGTTGTAGTGACAATTGATTCTTCCTTACTGCTTACAGAAAAGAGATGATGAGCAATGGATGAAGCACTCGCTGGGGTAAGCATACTCTGTTCATCAAGCAGTATAGTAGTTTTGATGTGGGTTGCAGCTTTAGACGTTGTCACCACGACACCTAAGTTAAATATTGAGACAAATTATTGTAGCACTTAAAAGAATGTCAACCTTACTTATCATTGGCTGTAACATGACATGCATGCACATTAGGTGTTAAAACACTGTAGAATGTGAAATCAACATGTTTTCTCTCTGATGGTATAATTTTTTTATATGTAATTTGATCCTGAATTCTCGATGTTTCTTGTTATACAGGTACTGGGAGAATGAGAAGGTTCGCTTGGCATACAGGCCAGTCCACATGAACACATTGGACAGTGAAGTTGAGTCGTTCCCACCCAAGGCGCGTGTTTATTAGTTCGGGATTCACGCAGCGCCGTAATTCTGTGTGGTGTTAATAATTCAGGGGCTGGGCATTCCTAGCTGAAAGTGCGACCTGAATTCCATCCTCCTTTTTCCCTCGGTATTTTGTGTAATTTGCTAGAAAAATAAAGGACAAACTCATGCTAATGCTAGTGCCTAACTGGTCCCTTCTGGGCAACTTGTATAAATGAAATTTTGTACTGCTTGCCAATGATCTTCGCCTCATGCAAGTACAATGTGGTCATGGACTCACGGTCCCCTGTGCTGTGCTTATCAATGGCATGGAAGCAAAGCGTTTTTTCTTTCTATTTTTCTTTACATCACAATGTGAGATTACAATTTTGCCCTGCCTGCTCTATCTATGTATCTGCCTCCCAGCCGTCTTGAGATGCTGGTGCTGTGGCTTCTGCTCCGTCGGTAGTCGCCTGCGAATCTGATGCCTCAACATTTCCAGCTTCAAATCTGGCTCTCCTCTCAACAGCTTCTCGTACCCTTTGTGAAAAATCTTCGTCAGATCCAGTTAGCATGTATCTCAGCTTCATGTTGATCCTGTTCTCCACCAATGTTTGGTGCCTTGGCACTATCCTGTCCTCCAAAGAGTAGCTGAAAAACCTGACAAAAATGCAGTGTAGAGTTGATAAGCATTTCGCAGTTGTTTCACAATGATCTCATCTTTCGATGTGCAATCAAAACATGAACCCTAGACAGACTCACCGGGGGAACTCGACGAGATCAATCAGCGGTCGCACCATGACGCGCCGCAGGTACTGGTATTTTGGCCTTAGAACATCCACGTTGTACCTGAGAAGCGTTGGGAAATCGGTGACCATCTGACCAAGCACGAAGTGGTAGATGCCCAGCGATCTCAAGTACTTGACGCTGACTTCCAGCTTGCGCACAATGCTACAGCCCAGGAGCTGTGGATCCAGGGCAATGACCTTGCCGATGTCCTCCTGTTTTACTGCGGCTTTCGTCATCAGGAATATTACCTACATGTGGAATCAGCATAAGCCAAATGGAGTAGATCATCAAGGTATGCAATTATGTATTAAAAAAGGAAGAAGAAAAACATAGAAGCACTATATGTGGATGAACTGCTTTTACTATTTTGGGTGTTCTCATCAACATCACCACTGCTGGTCATACAAATAGAGCAACTGGCCATTTAACATTTTTCAACTTCATCACTCCTGGCCTTACACATATTTGCTGCAAGGTGCATTACGCAATGCCGCGCTCGCCTTTATGCTTTAACTGGTTATTCAACAGTTGCCGGTGTGTTCATTCATCATGGCAAACCAAACCAATATTGAAAACAATTGAAATTTCTGTCCATGTTCAGTTACTGTGGCAACTTAGGTTTAAAGCAAGTTTTAGCATTTCAGATGGTGGTTTCATGAGATTTGACAAACTGCCTTCTATGCCATGCTTAGCTGCTCCAAACTGATCCTACTGACCTTAAAAACAAAAGAATCAACAAGGCAGGTCAATACTAATTAAGAATTGGAAAATTGAGAGCTTGTACCACTGGGCGTATTTTCTTGTATAGGCTATAAGTTAGTACAGGCGGAAACTTCACCAGCACACCTCCAACGGCATCACTCCTCACACCAATATCCTGTAGAAATTGTACCTAAAACAAATGATAGGATAGAGGTAAGAAGAATCACATTGTTCAGATCTCAGCATATTAAGAGCTATAAATCCACTTTGTGCATTTGCTTAAAACAATATGCTGTTACTCTTTAACGATCAAGACTATATTTAGTGAACACACTAACAAGTTCCTAATATGTTGCTGTGAAGTAATAAATAAAATGTATCCAATTGTTGTGAAAATTTGGAAATACAATGCATGCAAAGCAATCAAAAGAGTACCTTTGGTGCAATTACTGTTTCCAAATCAAGACAGAAGATCGTAGGCTGAACCACCAACATACGCTTCATGCCATCCCGTGAAATGTTTAGATGATACAGGTACTTCACAAGAGGCTTCCACCTTTCTTCAATGCTGCAGGCCATGAGCTGTGGCTTGAAAGCCATCAACTTTCCAAGTTCATCAGTGCTCAGTCCAAATTCTTTCAGATATTGTACCTGTGATCCATAATGCCATTATCTTCAATGAAGTTTCTATCTGACAAAGAGAGAATACATAAACAAATGCTATTTGACTACAACTAGAAAATGAAGCTCATAGCAGAAAGAGAACGTTGAGAATACTCGGTAACTTTATCTAAACATCTTTCAGAATTACAAGAAAAGTAACTTTAACCAGCTCATCATCAGTTACATTCATTCATATCTAAAAGGGGAAATAACCAGATCGTGACCTCAGTTTTGTCCGATTTAATAGTTCACTTTTAATCAGAAATCGATTTTTAACTGTCTGAAATATTAATTTGATCCTTACTTGTCCACAGATATCAATGAACACTCTTTGTTCATATTAAGAGAATGAAATGATATTGCTAAAATAATCGCTAAAAAAATTCTGAATGAACAAGGAGCCAAAAAAGCACAAAACAAGTTTTAGTGCACATAAAACACCTTACTGTTCATCTCTTCTAGGCTGAAAAATCCAAGAGCTTTTGGATAATCATAAACCATGGTGCCAAAATCATTATCATTCATGCCCATATCTGTATAAAATCTCACACGAGTCTCCAGTTCATCCATGGACAGATTCAGTAACTGTGGACACCTACCAACCACATGACCAATCCAATCTTTTCTAACACCGCAGCTTTCCATGTAGTAAATAATCTCTTCCAGTTCTTCAAAACTGCGGCTCAAAAAAGTATCACCTTTTGCAAGCACGCGTCCTAGATATTCTCCTTTCACATGAATGGACCTTAACCACTTTATCATCCTTCTCACTTTCTCCAGATTGCCAGAGGATGAGCAAACTACTTTGGCGATTTGGGGATAAGTCATGGAGTTGTGCTTGAACCACCTGAGGATCAGGATTTAAATTGTATTTATAAAACACTATAAACATTATGTAATATATTACGAATTTGTGCAATTGCTTAGGAGTTTGACAAGATGCCAGGGATGTGAGCCTATTTGGGAATTAACAGAGTCATAAATCATACCAGTTCAAATCATATTTTTAAACAGGTACTAATAATTTTACAGTGCATAAATAAATACAGTTCTGACAAGAAATCAAATAAATTCAAGCCAAGCCAAGGTTCAACTCAGATTGTTTCGGTACAGTTCTAGCCTGGCCATTTTCAACACCAACCACGATCATGCCTCCAAATTAAGTATTTGTAGCCCAGGTTGCTAATTAGACATAAAGATGAGCTTTGAAGACTTGAAATGAGGCATGAGGGAGCTCACAATTCATAGCCAAGATGGTGGGTGCCATGATCAATCAGTATTATGTGCATAGTAACAAACTAAACTACTCCTAACTCCTAAGCTCTAATGAATTACGCTACGTCATGCTTATGCCTACTTCGAACACGGAATCATCACTTCCCTCTAATTCTTTCCTTTCCCATACACAATATACCAAAATTGCATTTGTATGATCCGCAATTCTTCTGAATTTCTGATAGTTGGTGTTACTTCGAATTCAAATTTCTTTGTGCATTCCGAAACAGAAATGAACTGAGGCGATATATTACAAAGTATATAAACGAAAAACATCAAAGCTGCATCCTCACTTGACTAGGGCGACGAGGCCGGACTCCTCGATGTACACGCGCGCCCGCGCGTTGAACGACTGGTGCGCGAGCTCGGGGCGGTCGCGCCGCATGGCGGCGGCCTCGACGACGACGCGGTCCACGAACGGCGCCATCCGGGAGGTGAGGTTCCTGATGTAGGTCAGCCCGCCCACCTTCCCGCCTCGGAGCGCCGCCACAAGCACCTCCCCGGCCACCGCGCGCCGCACCTCGAGCGCGCGCCGCAGGACGGCGTCGTCCGCCACCGCGGCCGCCGCGGCGAGACCGCCGTCCGCAGTGTCCGGGAGCGTGGGGGAGGAGGGGACGGAGCCGGGGAAGCGGTAGGTGCGGCGCGGCGCGAGGGAGGCCTCCTCGGCGGCGACGAGGGAGGTGGAGGGCGGCGGCGCGGGCGGCGGGAGGTTCGGGTAGTGGGTGGTTGTCGGGTTCTGGAGGCGCGACGCGGCGGCGGCGGCGGCGAGGCGGAGGCGGCGAGGTGGGGAGGGTTTGGGGGTGTGGAGGTGGAGGTGGAGGTGGAGGCGGTGGTGGGAGGGTGGGAGAGTGGCTGCCGCCATTGGAGCGGGAGGTGGAGCTTGAGCTCTCCTCTATCCTCTCCTTGCTTGATTGCTTCGAGTAGAGGGGATTGGATCGTAAAATATATTTTTCGAGGGACTCTTTTAGAAATGTCGCACTCTGGCATTTCGGTAGTTAAGGGGATCAATCTGGGCCGTTGATTGTGGATCTGACGGCTGCTTGTACACCCGTAGAGGATTAGGATGTTTTGCATTTAAGTCCCTATTTTAGTATTTTGTATCGCTTCGTTGGTAGAGGTCCAACTATTTACATCCTACAATTTACAACTTGGTCCCCGTTTCTTGTAGGAGTGTTTCAAAATAGTCCCTGCATCACATCACACAAACCAGAAGAAAAATGCGGATTACTGCACTTGGCATAATATATGCCAGATTTTTTCGTATTGATTTTGTTCTACTAAGATTGCGACAAATCGTAGTTACTACTTCCTCCACTTCATATTATGAGACATTTTGGAATTGCTCTAAGTGAAATGTCTTAAAATTTAACTAAGTTTATAGAAAAAGTAGCAACATCTACGGTAAAAGAGCTTGCTGCTTGATATGATAAGGGAAAAAAAAGGGTAAATGTTATGTGCACAATGAGAACATCAAGTACCATGCGTTCAGTAAACCAAAACAATTCTCCAACATATGAAGGAAAAAAAAAAGAGAAATAAAAACCCCGAAAACTTCTCTATATGCACAATTCTCACTTCGAGACCCCGAATCATGCTCATCAGAAGATCAGATTATACACAGGTATGAATGAATCACAAATTCTTCGAAAGAATCGGTGTAATTTCAGTTCTACACGACAACATTCTCCTCGAACCCTTCTGGCTCCGGAGCAATCTCCCTGGAAGCCCTCTTGAAGGAGAAGGAAGTCTCTCCTCCGCTTCCATGTGATCTAGTTGAATGTTTCCTGTCAAGCATTTGCCCTGACGACGACGCGGTTTCAAGGCTCTGGTACCGGTTTCCTTGAAGGAAAGCAGACTGCCAGGAGCTCCGGGATGATGAGCTCCTGAGTCTTGCTGAATTGGAGCGGGACGCCATTCGCAGAATCTTTAGCGGGTTCTCCAGGGCTCTCAGAACGTACCGAGCAGAAGGCCGCCTTGATGGCTTTGAATTCAGGCATGTCTTCGCGACGATTGCCATGGCCCACACCTCTTCGAGATGATCCTCGTCGACAATAAGCAAAGGATCGATGATCCTAGAAATGCTCTCCTTGTCGTTCATGTCGATGCGGTTTAGTGTGTTTGTCATCCACTCTTCGGAGGCAGCATCGTTTGATCCACTTACACCAAAGTTGCCTGTTACTAGTTCAAGCATCACCTTTCCAAAGCAGTAAACATCATAAGAACAAGTTGCTGGTGGGCCTGTCATGTAAAAAATGCAGAAGGGAATGTTAACCATGAAACTTCCTTGTGCGCATGTACATGAACCACAGAATTAGAGTGGTAATAAATAGCCATGTATAAGATTTATGTACCTGATATGTTCTTATCAAGCGACCTGCCACAAGAAAGAACCAAATATCATTGTCAGTTAGGAGCTTTAGTTAGCAGTAAACAAAAGTTTTCAGAAAGATGTGACTCGTTTAAGGCAGATAAAGATGGAAGTTTGCTCAACTAAAAGACAACAGGATTAGAAGGAAGTAGGTGTGTGTGCTCGGAACATTGAACTACCAAATACCAACTAGCATGCAATCAGCATAGAAAATAAAATAACATTTTAGGTTATCTATAATCACCAACCCCTTGGTGCACATATTATTACTTTTTTTTTTTTTGAGCAGGCACATATTCTTGGTGTACCATCCAACAAGATAGAAACTCAGATAGCTGCAGAGTTCTCTGCTATTCTATCAGATTAATTACGGAATTCAAGTTGTAAACAGCGAGGAATGAGAAAACAAACAGCAATTACATCAGTACTAGTGTAAACCCAAGTGAACCCAAAAGGAAAATTACGTTAATAAGGATCAACAGTTCCATTTCCATAGCTCAATGGTAGAGTATTTTGACTGAGGTCACTGGTTCGAACCAGGTTGGTCTCTTCTGTTATTTACCCTTTTTATTTTTATTTTTTAAAAAAATGCAATAGTAAGGAAAGTAGGGAACTGCATTCTCTACATAGGATCATCCATGATCTATCAATACTACTGTTGCTGTTTCTCTTACCTTCAATTTTATGTTTATGTTGTTTCCAAATTTAAAATACAAATTCAGAAAAAAAAAGAGGGGCAAAACCATCAAATTCTGTCACCAGTGATTACGAGAATTCAAAAAATTGTAAAACCACCACATTCAGCCATCAATAAGTGTAGTTTTTCTCATTCCCGCCCATGACAGGTCATAATCATACCTTGATGATCTCAACAACCGAGAGAAGACACTCTGGCTTCCCCCACTTTGCTGGGCACATACATCACTCATACTCCCAAGTCGCACTTCAAATTTATCATCAAGAAGAACGCTAGTTGCTTGGATATCTCTGTGATTACAATTGAAGAAATCACAACATAATAAATAACAATGTGAACATAATGTCAGAGAAGATTGAGGTATGCAAAACATGTATCAACTTGGAGGTAAGGCTTATTGAATCAGAAAAGTTGAGCTGACCTACTGATAAAAAATTTCCTAGATAAAAAAGTAACATAAGACAGCAAAAACGAAGAAATTAAGACAGGCAAGTGGGAAAAAAATTATGACCACTACCAGTTATGTCAAAAGCACCAAACCTAAATTTTCCTGGAATTGTTGATGACATACACAGAACACTATACAAGTAGAATATTGAATGCGCATCTAAAGCTTTGATAGAGACTTGGGAACTTGTTATAGTTGATCACTAGTAAAAAGAAACCATATGTGGTTTCAAATCGTTAGAACGCATAACTGAATGAAGAAAGAGACACAAACAAATATATCGAATGTGGAAAGAGAAACAAACTAACAAACATTTTATAGTACCAATAAGGTTACCGAAAATGACAAGTCATATCAAAATGTATACTTTTAATTACAGTGGGTCAATGCTTCTAGGCAACGACACAACATGCACAGATAAATCATATTCAAGTCTCCAAGCATGATATTTTTGTCCAGGCCTATGAATAATTTATCACCAAAAGAATTTTCATATGCAAGATTCGCTCTTGAGTAAAAAAGTGCCTCAATGAAATATGAAGTAAACCGCTGAGTAAATAAGTCCAAGAAAGGCACAGCAACCACACTGAGGAGCCACAGAAATCACAAATCAAACAATTCAATTTCAATTAGACACTTCTTCTACTTCACTGGTCTTATATCGTTCCCGCCTTTGACATAACTTACACCATTAGTACGGCTACAACTTAATAAAAAATAAGGCATGTGAGCCATCAATAATTCTCTCAACTATGAACCAAATTAAATTAGGACAGAACGGCCAATATTAGGGTGCACTAACCAATAGGATATTACATGGTGTAGCAAATGAATTTCTTAGATGCCTGTGGATCATATAGAATACGGAATTACCTGTGGACTAATGGCGGGCGGCACTCATCGTGAAGGAAGCACATGGCCTCAGCCACACCTGTTGCAATCTTCAGTCTTGTTATCCAATCCAATGATGGCAAGCCATCTTCTGTGTCCACAGGTTTCTTGTGCAATGCATTGGTCAAGTCCCCCTTAGGCATATACTTGTAAGCCATAAATTCCTCTTCATCCTTTGCCAAATGTCCGAGCAACGGAACAATCCTCTCATGGGAATACATTTTATAGAAGTCCAATTCACCTGCATGCTTGTTGACGCTCTGTGCGTTGACCTTCTTGACAACAACCTGGGATCCACTCTCAAAGACACCATGGTAAATATCCCCAGAGTGCCCATGCTTGAGGAGGTTGTCATCTCCAAACCCGCCTGTGGCATGGACCAACTGCTCAAAGGTAAATTCACCGGAAACAACAACCGGATCCTTATGTCCAGAATTGGCACTTGGGGACACTGCTACTGGTGGTGATGTCACCGGGTTTACACTACTATCCCTCCTGCGCACGCCACGTGTGCTTTCCTCATTTGTATCCACCCCTCTCCCGCGTGCGCCTCTTCTTCCCGCCTTCTGCCTTGCCAAGCAGAATACCAATGCACCAAAAAACACAACCATCAGCGTTGCCGCGGCAGCAATAACTCCAATCAGTACACCCTTGGATATCCTACTGTTATTATTCTTCGTCGTCGTCCCCGGTGATGTCTCCGGCGAAGGTGCGGGAGCTAGAGCATCACCAAGCCTCACCCCTGCCCTCCTATAGAACTCTTCACAATCAACACGGTTGCGCTGACCTGGCGCACCGGAGAAGCAATTCATCCTAACATCTACATTTCCATCAGACACATTCCAAACCCCATCGAAGTAGTTGCTTGACAGGTCCACCACCTGGAACCTCCCCTTGAGGGCCCCAATGGCATCGCTGACCACACCATACAGCGAATTCCCAGAAACGTTGAACAGCGAGGCGGCTCCACCACCGGCGACGGGGGTGACATTCGGCAGCCCGCCGGTGAAATTGTTGCCGGAGAGGTCAAGAAACCGAAGCCCGGCGACAGACAGCAGCGACCCCGGCACGGCGCCGGAGAGGCTGTTTCCCGAGAGGAGCAAGCTCGTGAGGTTCCCTGACACGCCGAGATCGGGCGGGAGCGTGCCATTGACCGCGGCGGAGCGGAGGTCGAGCACGGCGAGCGGCGGCGGGAGGCCGCGCCCGAACCACGCCGGCATCTCCCCCGGGAGCGGGAACCCGGAGGCATTGAACACCTCCAGCGCCGTGAGGTTCCTCACCCCGTCGACGGCGAACCTCGGCGCCCGTGCGCCCACCCGCGTGCGGCGGAACCCGGCGACGGTGACCCCGACGACGCGCCCCCCGCGGCAGGTGACCCCGGCCCACCCGCCACCGCACGGGTCCACCCTCGCCGGCCACTCCCTCGCCCGTATCCCCAGCGACGCCCGCAGGCTGAACAGCCCCGCCAAATCCGACCCCGACGCCAACCTCTCCTGCTGCTGCTGCTGCGCCACCACCACCTCCACCACGACGAGGATCACCACCACCAGCAACCGCCTCAACCGCGCCCGCAGCGCCATGGGATGGGAGATGAGATGCCTGCTTCGTCTACTCACCGCGGCGCCGCCATGGAGGCGAGGTGTTCGCCGAAATGCGTAGGTGGGGTGGGGGGAGGAGTTGACTGCGGCGCGTGGGGGTGGAGGTGGCGACGAGGCGAGGCGAGGAGAGAAGACGAGACAAGAAACCGGCATGTGTGCGAGCGACTAAACCACACCAAAAAAAAAAAAAAAGCGGTTTGGTGGGGCCCACGTGCCAGCCGGGCCGGCCCACGGGCTTCGCGCTGCCTTTGCCACGGATTCAATGCGCCCGTGTCTCTCTGACTGGTGGGGAGGTGGCCGGCGAGGGTTGGGGTGGGTCCCACATGGCGGTGACCGGGAGGGAGGGGACGGCGCCGGCGGGGGTGCGAGTGGGGCCCGGTTGTCAGTGGGGTGTGTGGCTGACGGCGGACAGGTTTTACCGTTTCGTTTGGATGGACGGGGACGGCGCAGTTTGTGCCCTTTTATACAGTTTCTAGTTGGCTTTTACTGGTAGGAGTAGTAGTATAGTACTGAGCTGTAAATTTTGTTGGTATGAATTTTGCCAAATTTGACGCGTTCACGCCGGCAACCAACCAACCGGTGTAGCTTGTCTACTTCGATTGAAACTGTTTGTAGGTTTGTTTAAATTTAAACAGTGTTGTTTCAATAAAGAAATGTTTAAAATAAGAGAGGGGATGAATGGCGTACACTAGTAGAGTACTCCTACATGGTTGCATGCAAACGCCCCTGTTGTGGCTGTTAGCTGCTACACGTATGCATACAAATTGTTAAGTTGACGTTGCAATGTCAGAGTCCTTGGGATTAGAGAATATATTAGTACTATAATTACATTAAATGGACTCGGAGTACTTCAGCCATTAGGAGCATGAGAGGTGCAACTTTCAAATCACCAAAAGGTTTCAACTTTGAAACCATCAATGTGATAATCGGTTCTTTGATCTTTACTGTAGTTTGTAGTATTACTACCTTTAAACTTTAGTTATATCGTCTACTTATCGGTTAAAAGGTAGCATACGTATAACATAACCTCTTATATACAAACCTTTTTTTATTTTTTTTAATCATACTATATCGCTTTCTTCCTACTTTTTTCTTAGAGGTTATGTAGATATTGTCTTTTAAGTAAGGGATGACTCATCGCATCTTGTCTCTTCAGTTCTTTTCTTCACCTTATTATTATCTAATCCACTTTTAAAGATAGCACACACAACTTTATTATACTTACGGCAATAGCACACACAAACTCACACAAACACTTTATAATCGATGACCATACTACAAATTCACACAATCGCGAGCTTTATGTACACCTAATAGCACTTCATCAGTACAAATGGTTGAGGTCATACAGTGGCATGTTTGTCACGGTTAGTCCCAAAATTTTGACAAATTAACCCTTTTAGAAAGCTTATTTTAAAAGTAGATTGTGCCAAAAATTTACTAAAAACTAACAATTTGCTTAGTGCTATCAAAGCTCAGCATCACATACATTGGATAGGACCTTAGCATCAATGCTTGTGGCACAGGTGTTATAGCTCAGAGACATCTAGGTTTGGCAGTGCTGAGAAAATTATTTCATTTTTACAACAAATTTTGACACGGTCTATTCTTGAAATAAGTTTTTTCGAAAGAGTCAATATGTCCAAATTTCGTTAGTCACCACTCACCACCATTGGAAAGACTCTTATTGGGCCTTAATGGGCTGGACGGCTACAGTCGGGATCGCCGGCGCGGCCTGCGTCGGCCATGGCCCATCGGGGGGAGGAGCAATGTACGGCGCCGCCACTGGCTCACCGGCATGCGCCGCCACGCACGCCGCCGGCGAGGTCGGTGCGTCTCGCTGCTCCACCGTCTTCTCCACCTCCGGTCTCCGTCTCGCCCACCGACTTGTTCTACTGTTCACATGTCGGCCGCTCTTTGCTTTTTGATTTTTCCTCATGTCTTCTGTTTGTATTCTGTACGCAAACCATTGTTTGATTGTTTCCTTGTCTTGGGTTTTTGAGCTACGACCGATGAGTCGTAGAGGAATAAATCAAGCGACTAAAAGTAATACTCCCTCGTTTTTTTAAGCGATGAAGCCGTTAATTTTGAACACATTTTTTAACAATGCGTTTTATTTAAAAATTTTATATAAATGTATAAGATATAAGTCATACATAAAATACTTTTGAGTGATAAAAACAACTCATAAAAAATAAATTATAATTACGTAAATTTTTTTAATAAGCAAACGGTCAAACGTGTGACAAAAGGTGAACATCGTCATCTATTAAAAAAGGAAGTAGTATATGATTAAAATTTATATTTGTATTATTAGTAGTTTTAAAGATAAGAGCAGAAAAAAAGGATAAAATAAATCATAAAATCAACTCTAAAAATGAAATTTAAAATTTAAAATTGACTATGTCTAATAAGCCAACAAGCAAAGATATCGAGTGAATATTTGCCAGGAACGAATTACTTACTGTTGAATTAGAGATATCGAGAAAACTTGGCAGGCAACATCATCTGTTAATGTTATCGTCAAGATAAACATCTGATCGAAACAATGTTATTACCTGCATTGATACACAGTCATTTAGTAGTAGTAAGTACTCAATCATAAACGGGTATGGCACCAAAACTAGGAGTGACCATAAACAGTAGAGTTGACAAACTGACAGCACAAAATTCCCATCAAGTCACTTGCCCAGGCATCAGAGGCAATTTGCACAATGATCATACAACAATGAACCATCATTACTGAACCAATAATGTTTCGTTTAACAAAAACATCTGTAGCATTACAAGCAGTGCCCCATCCTACCCTTTTCTCATTTTCTTTTTCTTTCCCTATTTCTTCTATGCTAGAGTATGTCAGAAGGCTTCTTGTGTTGCTGTACAATTTATACAGGGAGATAGAACAAGATAGCTACTACACTGTACATTACAACACTATGATCTTAAGCTAGGCTACAATTGATCAACTAGCAGATCCTGAGGTTGGGGAATCTGGGGGTGTCCGAGGGATGACGAAATGGTCGACGATCCGCACCGCATTGGTTGGGTCCGAGCCGGAGGCGGCCCTCCATTTGCTGGGGAACTTCCTGGTGTAGCTCATCTGGAATGGCTCCTTTGGCTCCATGTCCCAGTCTGGATCCAGCATCCAGTCTTTTGGCACCTGATTGATTCACAAAGCACAACAGCTTGTTTGGTTCTTTCTAAAGAGAAACATTTATGTAGGTCTCACTGAAAAAATCCATAACTTAACCCATTGAAATGACCCAAGAATTTCACTATTTCGATTTTGCTAATCCTTGGGAACAGTGTGCGACATATAATTCCGAGTCTACATAACCTAGGTCTAGTCTAGTTCTGGAGAAAAATCAATAGGAAATGCTATTTGCTTCTTGAGAACTTTTTTGGATGTTTTACAGATGCCTTCCAGGAGTTAAATAAATATCTTAGTCTTGGGGTTCCAGATACATGAAAGATGTAGGAGAGCGAGCATGTTTGATCGATGCATTGCTAAGCTGACAAACATAAATTAAATCGGCAGGCTTCTTACCTTGTCGACAGCAAAGGTGAAAACTTCAAGGTCTCCATTCTTCTTGATATGGAACCGTGTAAATGCCTTGTAATTGGCTATGCGCAGTGAGGAGAAGGCCTCATCGAAATGAATATGAAACCAGTTTATGCATATGTATAAGTAGCTCCCAAACACCAGTGATACAACTGGTGTTGACAAGACCCAAAAGTACAGGAAGACGCAAACATAGTAGATGATCGCTCCTCCTCGAGGAAGGGACTCTATTCCTTTTCTGCAGATTGTGCTCCTCGTAACTGCCATAACCTGAAATAGCAAATATACATTACAGGGTTGAAAATGGTACAGGAACTCAGAAATAGCGATTCTGGTATATTTATGAAGAATAACCTCAGGGATGTCAAATGCAGACATCAGGTACTTAATGCATGCAGGGTAAAGACCTAAAGTCCATTGTTCCAGACGAGTGCGAAGTCCTGTGGGATCAGGAAAATGCTCACTTTCGACCTTGCGATACCACTCGTAGAGGGTATGGTAGCCTGGATAAGGACAGGAATAGAAAATGAACATTTCAGGCATTAAATAGTTGAGACATAAAATAGAGGTACAAATAAACACGTGCCACATTGCCAACTCATAAAAGGGTATAAGAAACCAATTCAAGAATACACAATGGTTGCAAGTTAGTACACTGTCCTAGTCTCTTCTCCAAACATTTCTGATAACCTTAGGATGACTACCATTACCCATATTGTAACAATAAAGTTAGACACAAGTTCTTATGAAAAAAAAATGGAGTTATAACCAAAGAAATTGACATTAAATAATATAGACTATTATAGAACCGCATTAAGTTTCTGACAGCTGTGGTAAGCCGTGGTAAAAATGGAATGCTGCCATCTTAAACCAAGAGAGAACACAGGATTAAAGCTTGCACAAACATTACATGATATATCAAGCAACGATGCATGAAAAAAAAAGAAAGATAACACACCGACCTGATGTTGCCAATAGATTGTTGCGGATGCATATCTCAATAGCCAATTCCATAAGCAGCATCAGTATCACTGCTGAAGTTAGATGGGCCACAGCATGAAGAAAACCAAGCAAGGCACGTCTTCTACGCGATAGTTTTGTGGGTACAAAGAAAAAAGATACCATCAATAGAGTAACAACACCAGCCAGGGATACATAGGAATGCTCCAGAATCTCAAAAACAACATTCCACATTGCAGTGAAGAAACTATTGACACGGTCAGCCCAAGAGTCTTCACGTAAGATACGAAAGGAATCACACTGAAAATAATATATACTTATGTCAGGCCACAAAAGAACAGTAATTGAGAAACTTCTAGCACTGCTCTAATATAAATTTGATACTCTAGTGCCCAAAGTTGAAATGTGGTTCTTGTTGCTTTAGCTTCTATTATATGGTGCATGCACATTAATTGTCTAGATGAACATTATTTATCACCAACTGTTGGTCCATAGAGTTCATGGAGCAGACTACAGGCAACTAAACCTACAAAGTACAACTATGAACCTATGAGAAATGTTCATGAAGTCTCAGATATGTTAATGCGCCCTTGGGAATAGGCCTGAAATGATTCTATGAGCAAAGCCC